AAACCCCGGATAAACCTCCTGTAGTAATTCGCAAAGCCCAAGAACCGCTGCACCTCTTTAACAGTAGTTGGAGTTTGCCAATTACGCACGGCCGACACACGGTCAACCTCCATCTTTACCCCTGACGCAGACAACTGATAACCCAAAAAGGAGACCGACTCCTGGAAAAACAGAAATTTCTCTGCCTTGACATACAGATCATGCTCCAACAATCTCCTCAATACTCGGCGCACCAGGGCTACATGCTCGGCTCGGGTAGAAGAATACACTAGAATGTCGTCAATGTACACGACCACTCCTTGCCCCTGCATATCCCGGAAGATCTCATCTACGAAGGATTGGAAGACTGAAGGAGCATTCATTAACCCGTATGGCATGACGAGATACTCGTAATGACCCGAGGTGGTACTAAATGCTGTCTTCCATTCGTCTCCCTCCCTAATACGCACCAAGTTGTATGCGCTCATGAGAACCAATTTTGTGAAGAACCGCGCCCCGTGTAAAGACTCCGTCATAGTCGCAATCAGAGGGAGTGGATAACTGTATTTCACAGTAATCTGATTGAGACTGCGGTAATCAATACACAGGCGCAAACCTCCATCCTTTTTCTTCACAAAAAAGAAACTCGAGGACGCAGGGGAAGTGGAGGGCCGTATGTATTCCTGTCTCAGAGACTCCGCTATGTAAGTCTCCATAGCTCTCTTCTCCTCTTGAGACAGAGGATACACATGGCTCCGCGGAAGCGCAGCTCCTACCTGGAGGTCTATCGCACAATCCCCCTGTCTATGTGGTGGCAATTGCGTCGCCTTCGCCTTACTAAACACAAGTGGTAAATCCTCATACTCGGGGGGAATGTGCAATGCGGGCAGTTGGTTTGGACTTTCCACCGAGGTCGCCCCTACGGAAACGCCCAGACATCGCCCTACACACTGGACAGACCACTCCTTGAGAGCCCTCTGTTGCCACGAAATAGAGGGATTATGAGTAATCAACCAGGGAAGCCCCAGCACCACCGGATACGCAGGAGAGTCTATAAGATATAACTGAATAGTCTCCTCATGACCCTCCTGCGTCCCCATTCTAAGTGGAGCTGTGACCTCCCTAATCAACCCCGATCCCAACGGACGGCTATCTAGAGCATGTACAGGGAAAGGATTACTGACCGGAAGGAGGGGAATCCCTAACTCTGCACAAAATCGCCGATCTATAAAATTCCCAGCTGCGCCTGAATCTACTAGCGCCTTATGCTGGGAATGAGGTGCAACCTGTGGGAAGCAAACAGGTATGGTTAGGTGCACAACAGAGAGCTCTGGGTTAAGTGGGGCGCCTACTCACCTGGAAGGACTCCCCAGTGCGTGGCCTGCCGTCTCTCCCCCTAGGAGACCCTCCCCAGCACCTGGCCGCAGTGTGTCCTCCACGGCCACAGTAGGTACAGGGGTTGGTCCCCCTGGGGCTCCTTTTCCTCTCCTCTCTAGCGCCAGCACCCCCGAGCTCCATAGGACTAGGCTCGGAGGTGCTGGAGGGTGGAATGGACGACCCCCACTCAGGACGTCCGCGGGTGGCCAGCAGGGTGTCGAGGCGAATGGCCATGTCAACCAACTGGTTAAACGTGAGGGTGGTGTCCCTGCAGGCCAACTCACGACGGACGTCCTCCCGTAGGCTGCAGCGGAAGTGGTCTATGAGGGCCTGCTCATTCCACCCTGCGTCTGCCGCTAGAGTCCGGAACTCCAGTGCAAACTCCTGGGCGCTCCTCTTCCCCTGTCGGAGGTAGAATAGACGTTTCTCCCGCCGCCTTCCCCTCAGGTGGATGGTCGAATACAGCCCTGAAGCGACGGGAGAACTGCATAGGTGATCGTCGCGGGGTCTATTCTCCTCCATTCGGCGTTGGCCCACTCCAACGCCTTGCCGGTGAGACAGGAGATGAGGGTGGAAACGCTCTCGTGTCCCGAGGGCACCGGGTGTACGGTGGCGAGGGTAGAGTTCAACTTGAAGGAGGAAACCTTGACACCCGGCAGCGGTACCATCATACGCCCTCGGGAGCGAGAGCCGAATCCCACTGGGTTCCGGAGCGTGGACTAAGGGACTGACCAGTGCTGGTGGTACTGTGGGAGGAGCGTTGATGATCTGGGCTATCCTGTCATCCTGTCCGCGGACGCGCTCCTCCCATGACTCGGTCACTGCTGCTGCTCCTGCTGATTCCATGAAGTGGTGTGTAGTTCTGTCAAGGACGGGCGTAGGTGGTGTGTGGAATCAAATGCAGGATGCAGATGCAAGTCCAAAATACTTTAATAAAGTCCACAGAATGAAACGGCTACAGACAGAGCCGGAAGAACAAGGCAAATAACGCACTAAGCGTAAAAGTACAACAAACGCACAACAGTGCGGACTCTCTATAAAAAGTAGAGCACAAACTGACTGGCAACACCTACTGACATCGAACAACTACACACAACCACAAGACAGAAACAACGAGAACTTAAAGGACACATAATCAAGACAAAATGAGCAACAGGTGTAACAAAACAGACCAAACCAAACACACACAGAAACAACGAACGGTGGCAGCTAGTACTCCGGGGACGACGACCGCCGAAGCCTGCCCGAACAAGGAGAAGGAGCAGCCTCGGCAGAAACCGTGACAATTGTAGGATTTTTAATGAATTTATTTGCAAATTATGGTGGAAAATAAGTATTTGGTCACCTACAAACAAGCAAGATTTCTGGCTCACACAGACCTGTAACTTCTTCTTTAAGAGGCTCCTCTGTCCTCCCTCGTTACTGTCACGGTTTCGGCCGAGGCTGCTCCTCCTCCTGGTTCGGGCAGGCTTCGGCGGTCGTCGTCCCCGGAGTACTAGCTGCCACCGATCGATGTTTCATGTTCGTTTGGTTTTGTCTTTATGTTGTACACCTGTGTCTTGTTAGTCCTCGTTAGTGTCCTATTTAGTTCTCGTTGGTTGTGTTTGTCTTTGTGTGTGATTGCTCTTCTGTTTTTCGTGTTGGAGCTACGTACTTCCCTCCAGTGTTTTGGAGATGGTTTTCGCACATGTTAGTGCGCTGTTTGTTTTGACGCCTGTGTGCGCCGTGCTTTCACCTTCGAGCTTATTGTGCTTATTTTCTACGTGATTATTGCACTAAAGTCTTTTGGACTGAGCTTCTGCGTCCTGTGCTTGATTCATGCACCACACCCACCTTCAGCACCCCTTGACAGAATCACACACCAGAATGGAATCAGCAGGATCTGCAGTTACGCCTGAGTCGCTCGAGGAGCATGTCCGCGGCCAAGATGACCAGATACGACAACTGGGACTCTAGCATCG